TGTCTTCACGCAAGAAAGAATTCAGGCGTGAGACAGAGAGTAGTGGAAAGCAAAATAGCAAGGTTTATTAGGGAAGGGACATCTGTAAGAACAGATGGGCACCTCTCCAGACAGAACCTGAGAGAGAGTGCCTAGTCGCTCAGACTGGGGGAGAGCGAGGTTACACGGTTGAGTGGAGAATACACCTGGCCAGGCCAGGCGGGCGGCTCAGCAGAGAGGCTGAGGGCTGAGTGTGCAGTCCAGTTGAGGCCGGGGGTTTTTAAGGAGATGAGTCCTGCCTTCCCGCCTCTTCTCCTCCTGGAACAAAGGACTTTTTGGATGTAAATATGAAAAATTCCTTTCTGAGTTTTCCCCCTGAAGTTGTCAGATGGGGGAAGCCTAGCTGGCGTTGCCCCACCTTAGAGGAGCCTTAGAGGAAGGATGGTTATCGGGTAGAAGGGGCAGGCCGTTTGAAGTGCAGATACTGGGCTGCACCTGGAAGGTTATCAGGATGACTGAGATGCGGATGCTGGACCTAGATGTCAACTCCTTAGGCCTTTGTCACACACACATAAGCTCATTTCTGACTTCCTACCTAACAAAATGACACCAAGACCAGAGGCCAGAGGAGCCTCTAGCTTTGGCCAAGATGACCTAGACAGGAGCCGTTCCAAGTAATCATGGAGACGAGGGCCGACTGGAGCGCCAGGAATGCAAAGGGACGGGAGGAAGTGGAGCGGCAGGCGCTTCTGCTACAGGTGAGAACAGGCCACAGCGGGAGTGGTGGCACTCAGCGCCCTGTAGGAGGCGCTGTGGCGGCGGCTCCCCAGGTGGAACCCCAGGGGAGCAGCACAGGCGGTTTGGGGGGGTACTCTGAAACACCTCACTGGGGCTGAGCTGGTTCACATTCCCGCCGCCATGGACACGGATCCCAATTTCCTTCTTTCTTCTTTTTAAACTTTGACTTATTTATTTGAAAGGCAGAGAGAGAGAGAGAGGTTCACTCACCATCTACTGGTTCACTCCTTGAAAGCCCATAAAACAGGCCGGGATGGGCCAGGCTGAAGCCAGGAGCCAGGAATTCCATCCTAGTTTCCCATGTGGGTGGCAGGGACCATCATCTGCTGCCTCCCAGGGGGTGGGCATTCCAGGAAGCTGGAGTCAGAAGCAGAGTAGGTGGGACTTGAACGAGGCACTCCAAAATAAGATGCAGGTGGTCCAAGGGTGACTTCATTGCCACATCAGCTGTCCCTCCTCCATCTCCATCACCAAGTCTGGCACCTGCTCTGCTACTCTGTACTCCTTCTAGAGCCAGAAGCGCTTCTGGCTAGTTCTACCAGATGCATACAATGGATGGAGACAAGGCTTGGTGCGGAGCAGGTCAGGGACGATGATAAGGACGGTCAAGGTAAGGCCTGGGTGACTGCACGGCTGCTTGGTGCTCTCAGTGGGCTCAGATGATTGCTGGCCTGCAGGAGTCTCCGAGGTTCAGGTGGGAGGTTTGGGGTCTGTTGACAGACAGCCTGGGGGCTCCTGAGTGTGGCTGCAGGGGTCAGGGGAGGGGTACCATGGTGAAGGGGTCCTCAGGTCCTCATTCTTAGCCCTTCTCAACTCCGGAGTCACAGAGCCCCTGCCCCGCCCTCAGAGCTGGAGGGGCTGACCCCTTCATTGTAGATAGATAAACTGAAGCCTGGCTCAGAATCCTGCCTGGAGGGTGAGTGTCCAGAGATTTTTCATCCTCCTCCCCTACTCTCCTCCCTCCCTGGAGCAGAGCCCTGAGGCCCTCCCCCACCCCACAGGCAGGCCCCGCCTCCCAGCTGAGAGCAGTTCCAGGCCACGGCTCTAAGGAGCAAGGCTGGACATTAACCAGGCTGAAGGTTTCTTTTTCTAAAGTTTCTTTTATTTATTTGAGGTTGGGGGGGGGGAGGATGGACAGAAAGAGACAAGAGAGATCTTCGATTTGCTGGTTCATTCCCCAACTGACTGAAACCGCCAGGCTGGGGCAGGAGCCGGGAACTCCATCCGGGCCAGGGTACTTGAGCCACCACCTGCTGCCTCCCTGAAGGCGCCATTAGCAGGAAGCTGGATTGGCATCGGAGAGGTACTGATGTGGGCGTCGGAGCGGCCGCCACAACACTTGCTCCGGGCTGAACATTTCCTTACAGGGTCTGCCTTCTCCTCCTCTCTCTTACATATATGTGGTGGCAGATTTCCACCATCCACTCTTTTCTTGTATTGCAGACTTTTTTTTATAAAAAGATTTATTTCATTCACTCCTTTAGTCACTTTTAAAAAATATTTATTTATTTGAAAATCAGAGTTACACAGAGAGAGGAGAGGCAGAGAGCGAAAGAGATAGAGAGAGAGAGAGGTCTTCCATCCGATGGTTCACTTTCCAATTGGCTGCAATGGCCGGAGCTGCGCTGATCCGAAGCCTGGAGCCAGCAGCTTCTTCCGCACCTCCCACGCGGGTACAGGGGCCCAAGGACTTGGGCCATCTTCTACTGCTTTCCCAGGCTATAGCAGAGAGCTGGATCAGAAGTGGAGCAGCTGGGTGGGTCTTGAACCGGTGCCCGTATGGGATGCCGGCACTTCAGGCCAGGGCGTTAACCCACTGCGCCACAGCTCCGGCCCCTAGTCACTTATTCATTCATGACATGACTGTGTCTTTCATTTTCGTTCATTGGGTTTGAACTGCTCAGCCAGCTGCAAGGAATGGATTCCAGTGCTTAAGACACTGCTCACCTTCCAATACAGTATCAGCTCCCGCTCTCTCAATACACACCCAGTGCCCGCCGTGAGTCCCGTGAGGGTTAGACCTGCGGCTTCACCTGTTTCTTCCATGTCTGGCAGGTGTCCAGCTATCCCATGTCTTATCCCCTGGGTTGTGCAAGTGTCACGGGTGTGTCACACGTCTGCCTCCTTCTAGTCTCTTCCTCATAGCAGGCAGATAATATATTGATTGATATTGATCAAAGTTCACGAAGCAATCTTTATAAACTGCTAAAGGTGCCTGTGTTTGCCAGCAAATACGACTTGGGACGTTATAGAAGCCACCATGCTTGCCCACTGCAAGCCACACAGCCTCCAGGCACTGGATGTCAAAGCTCCCCTCGGGACATTTGGCCCCGTGGTTCAGGGCCCACCCCGATGCCCGAATCCCACATCTCACGTCACTGTGCCTGGCTTCGGGTCCCCGCTCTGCTCCGATCCCAGCTTCTTGCAAGTTCACAGCCTGGGCGGTAGCAGGTGATGGCTTAAGTACCCGAGACCCTGCCACCCATGTCTGAAATACATGGCTTCAGCCTGGCCCAGCCCTGCTGCTGCTGCAGGCATTTGAGGAGCGACCCAGTAGATGGAAGATCCCTCTCTTTCTCTCTCTCTCTCTCTCTCTCTCTCTCTGTCTGCCTTTCAAATAAATAAAAATAAACAACAAAAACTCTTGCTTGGCTTAAAAGCAAACACACTACTCTTGCTTACAACTGGCTACCTCCACGCTGCTCCCTGGTGTGCACAGCTGCTAGAAGTGTGGCGAGCGCGGTTTGCTGTGCTCTGGGAGTGCTCTGCTCTGAGTCCCTCTGAAGGCTCATTCCTGGGAGGGGAATGCCCGGGTCAAGTGCACTGTACATCTCCATGAGTGCCCGAGGTCCAGGTGTAGTGTCTCACGCAGTAGGAGCTCTGTGAGGCCTGTGCACAGGGGACTGGTGCCCCAGTGCCTCCTGCGAAGGTCGCATCCTTTCCGCTCCCATCCTCACAGCTGGGAGAGTCCCAGCAGTGGTCGCTGCTGCCACCAGGCCCCTGCAGCTCGGGGCTCCAGCTGGCTGCCGTTCAGGCCTCTCTGCTGCTGCCGGCCAGGAGGCGTTAAAGGACCTGTCTCATTGCCAGTGAGAGGAAGGCAAGGCCCTGAGCACGGGTGACCCTCTCCGCCTGGCCTCCTCTGCCGGGGTGGGCACCCCGACACGAGGTACCCACATTCTCCTCCCCCTCCCGCCAACCAACCCCTGCAAGCAGAGAAGCGCCCACAGAGAGCTGGGCCCCTTCTCCCACTGCTGCCCCAGGTGCTAATATGCCAGAAACCACTGTAGTCCCGACTCCCTCAGGAACCCCCAGCCCCCATCCCTGGCATCTTTGGGGCTGCTTGTCCCATCGCCACACCCCTGGCCCCACCCCTGCCTGGGTCCTGGCGTGCCAAGCACGGGTATTGCTGGCACAGTCCCAGGGGAGCCACCCCTGCCAGCATGCCAGGGCCACTCCCACCTCCTGGGAGCTTTGGCCAGCACTGAGCTGTGCCCTGTGCCTGGGAGAAGGCGGCTGGCACTGAATGGGCTCTGAGGGCACAGTGCAAAGGCAGGGGTCAGGGTGGGGTTACCTGCTTGCCTGGACCCCAAGCCACTGGCACCAGGACCCTTTTGCACTCTGCATGACCTGGGCCAGGTTGCCAGCCCCAGGTTCTGCTGCAGCCCCCTGGGGCCTGCTCCATGCTGCAGTGGTAAAGCTTCCTCCCTGTTAGGGTTAACCCCACGGGTGGGGCGGCGGGGGGGTGCCCCAGGAAGGCTGGAAGAGAAAGGCGGGGTCTGCCTTCTCCTCCTCTCTCCTTTCCTCTGCAGGGGACTCCAGGGCTGGGCCCCACCCACCCACTCCCCTCTCCCGCCCGCCCGCTGCCCACCCCCACCTTCCCCAGCAGGTTGCTTCCTGGATCCAAGTCCTTCCTGCCGAGTTTGCACCGACTCCAGGGAGGTGATCAGGGAGCCAAGCTCCTCGCCTCGGGGGAGGGCAGTGTGCGTACGGGACTGGGAAGCCGTGGACAAACTGGGAAGCCGTGCATGGTCCTCCCACCACAGTGCCCGGCTCCTTGGCACCCAGACACCTCAAGGAACAGGAGACCAAAGCACCTGCCAAGGGCCCCTGGCCGCGGGTGGCCTGCGGCTGGACGATCCTGGGGGCTCATGGTGGTGGGGTGTCGGCGCGGTGTCATCCCCCTGCCCACCACCTGCTCGCACAGCCAGAGGCAGACTCGCAGCCACAGTCAGCCAACGTTTAGTGAGGACACACATTTAGTGTGCATCGCAGGGGGTTTACAGTGGGGCTTTTTCTAGTCACCCAGTCCCATCTCCCATGGGTGCAGAAGGGCCTCCATAGTAGCCCCAAGCTGGCTGGCCAGTCAAGACTTGTATGCCTCCAGAGACAGGGCTCTCACTACCCTGCCGAGTAGCCGGCACCACGGTTGGGCACCGACAGTTTCCTCCTGGCTGTCTCCAACTGCGGGAAGGGGCGGATTCTGTTGCTGCAGCCCAGCCCTCAGGACAGGATAGGCAGCTGGGGCGGAAGCGGGGCAGGAAAAGCAATAAGTTAAATCCGAGGCTGACCGGAGGCCGGCGGGACGGGTGCAGGCATTCCAGGGTGGCAGAGTCTCTGAGTCGCTCTGGGAGGCGCGGGGAGGAGGTGGCTCAGAAGGCTGGGTTGTCAGTGCCCGTTGGCATCTCAGCATGGTCTTCGGGCAAGAGGCTGTAGGGTGGCGGCGGCTCCAAGGGGGTCGGGCCTAGGGCAGGCTTCAGGACGATCTGCGGAGGAAGAGGACGCTCTGAGTCTTCTTGGTGGGCCTGGCCCTGGCCGTTACCTGTCCTCCTGTGCTGGCTGAGGCTGGTCACCTGGGCAGGGATGCGGCGGTGCGAGCGGCAGAGCCCTCCCTCCTCAATCCTGCTGCTCTAGCAATCTGGGCCACAGCAAGCGACAGCCAGCCTGGGACAGAGAACGCTCTGGGACACCTACCTCGCTGTAGGGGGGTGGGGGATCACAGGCAGACACCCAGACTCTCTCCGGGGAAGCTACGGGGGGCACTTCCGGGGGCCCCTGGCGGTCCGGTGCGGGATCCTGCTCTGGCTGTCTGCAGTTGCGACAGAAGCGCTTGGCCAGGCCACAGATGCACAAGACGGGCAGGATGACCAGGAAGATGATGACGAAGATCCTGGGTGGAGAGCGCCAGTGTCACCCTGAGCGCCCAGGCCATCCCTGCTGCACTGGCCTGCAGCATCCAGCCCTGTCCCACACGGACCAGGCCCCACCCGAGGACTGTGCCCAGAGGGGCTGGCCCTGGGCTCACCTCAAGGGGCCAGAGAAGAACTCGTTTTCCTGGCAGCAGCTCTTCCCGCAGCATTTCAACCCTTCGGGGCAGGTGCTGGTCAGGGGCAGAAGGGGAAAGGCGAGGCCATTGGACCGGGACGCAAGGCAGAGGACCAGTTCCCCCAAACACAGACTTAAGCCTCCCTGCAGGGGGGTGGGGGTCTGAGCTCAAGGGGAGGAACTGGGGCTGGGGTTCAACCTCGTCTCCAGGCTTATCTCCCAACCGGCCTTCTGCTCTTGTGCTATGTTACTGCTTCTTACTAAGCCTCATTTTTCTCATCTGTAAAGTGGGTGGCAAGACTGTCCTGTCGAGCCGTGGGGATTGAGTTGTGGTGGTTGTGGCGTCCCTCATTTGGCCCTAAGGAAACACAGAGAGGGAGGCGCTGTGGAGCGACCAGGAGCTAACCGGAGGAGGAACCTGACCGGTGCCCACAAATAGGCAGGAGGCAGGGCAAGGTGCTTCGGGAACAATCCGTGTTCCACCGAGACCACGCCCCCGGCCCCTCCCCACCCTGCTCAGGCTTCTTGGGATTTGTACAGGGGGCTTCAACACATCTGTGGAAAACAGAATCAGAAGAGAAACGCAGGGGTAGGCATTTGGCCTGGTTATTAAGATGCCCATATCCCATGTTAGAGTGTGTGCACTGATTCTGCCTCTGGCTCCTGGCCCCAGGCTCCTGCCCACACAGACCAGGAGGCAGCGGTCACAGCTCAAGTGATGGGGGCCCTGCCACCCGCATGGGAGACCTGGACAGAGTTCCCAGCTCCTGACGTCAGCCGGGCCCGGCCCCAGCTGAGAATCTGGAGAGTGAACCAGCAGATGGGAGTTCTCTCTCCATCTCTCTCTGCCTCTCAAATAAACACATTTTTTTAAGTTTATTTTGGTGCAAAATATTTGAAATCCGTGCATAATACTGGTGTCTTACTAAAGAGCATGGAAATGGCCGGCGCCGTGTCTCACTAGGCTAATCCTCCTCCTTGCGGCGCCGGCACACCGGGTTCTAGTCCCTCTTCCAGGCCAGCTGTCTGCTGTGGCCCAGGAGGGCAGTGGAGGATGGCCCAAGTACTTGGGCCGTGCACCCCATGGGAGACCAGGATAAGTACCTGGCTCCTGCCATCGGATCAGCGCGGTGCACCGGCCGCGCCGGCCATTGGAGGGTGAACCAACGGCAAAGGAAGACCTTTCTCTCTGTCTCTCTCTCTCACTGTCCACGCTGCCTGTCAAAAAAAAAAAAAAAAAAAAAAAAAAAGCATGGAAAAATTACGCACAGATTTCAAAATTGTTTTGCACCCAAATAAACTTACCTCTAAGTTCCATTTTTGCACAGCTTTTTAAAGTGCCCTTGGGTATTTATGTCAGCAGAGTTCCCGCCCTGCCCAGCAACTGCTGTGAGAAGGATCCAGAACAGCCTGGCCCAGTCCTCAGGGGTGGTTGGTGGTGGTGGTGGGGTCCTCCCTCTTCAGGTGGGGGGGTAGGGGGCTGGTTTCTGGCTGGAATGGGAGTGGCAGAAGATGCTGGACAACCTGCCTGACCCCCTCCCCGCTGAGACAGACAGGGCATGACTGGAGTGGTCCCTCTCCTCTCTCCCCCAGAGTGGAAGTTAGAGCCTCATGGCCCAGACTTACGAGGAGCGAATGCATTTGGCTTCAGCCTGGGGAAGAAAAGAGGCAGAGGTCAGAGGTCATAAGTGGGAGTAAGGGGGAGCAGGGGCAAGACCTCCGCTCAGACATTGCTCGGGTGCGACACAGCCCGCAGGTGCCCAACGGACTCAACTTCTCCCGACCTCACTCCACCCGCCCCCAGGTCCCCGGGTCGAAGGATGGAGCCCAGCTGCCCCTCCTTTCCGACACCCCACCCCCATTCACTCAAATCCAGAAGCTCACCCCTCCAGAACTCCCTTCCATTTCTGTGTCCATGACAGCCATGGCCAAGGGCCCTGTGACTTCATCCCCAGCCGGGGGATCACGAACACTGCAAGCAGGCGGACTTTTGCTATGGTGAAAAGCTGGTCCCCTAACAACCTTGTCAGAAGCCCCCTGGGGTACAGACTCCCAGAGGGCAGCCTTGGCCCCTTCCCCCTCTACATCCCATGTCCCCCTTTTTCCCACACCCACTCAGCCCTGCACACACCTGCTGCCTGACCCTCTCCTGCCTGGAGGACTCGGAGCTCTGCAAGGCTGCCAGGACCGCCTTCCCCCTGGGCTCTGGCTCCGCAGGGCGGCCAGGCATCCTTAGCTCTGCAATCCTGTGGGGCAGCCTCACCGCGACACTTGTCCCAGAAGGCTGCAAAGCTGGCTCCGGCACGTCCACTCCCCCAGAGCACTCCCCCTCCCCTTCCTCTGCTTAATTTTCCTCCAAAGCTCTAGGATCACATCACATACTGTAGCTTTTACTGTGTCTCACGGACTGCCCGCCAGCTCAGCAGACTGGAAACCCCAGGGCAGGGATTTGAGTCTGTTTCATCACTGTTGAAAACCCAGTGGCCAAAACACATGCATGAATGAATGAGCATTCAATGATTATCTGCTTGTATTTCATCCTGGCTGCTCCCAGATGGTGGGGAGGGATGTAGGTGCAGGGATGCAGGAAAGTGGGGAGGGGGGGTCTCTGTCACCCTACCCCAGCCCCCTGGAACAAACAACCAGGGCTCAAGAATGGAAGCCTATTTGGTAAAACCACCATTATTTTTATACCGTTACTTAAAATAATTAAAATGAGGGGCCAGTGCTGTGGTGTAGTTGGTAAAGCCACCGCCTGCAGTGCCAGCATCCCATAAGGGTAAAGGTTTGAGTTCCGGCTGCTCCACTTGCAATCCAGCTCCCTGCTAATGTGCCTGGGAAAGCAGTGGAAGATGGCCCAGGTGTTTGGGCCCCTGCACCCATGTGGGAGACATGGATGAGGCTCCTGGCTTTGGCCTGGCTCAGCCCTGGCCATTGTGGCCATTTGGGGAGTGAACCAGCTGATAGAAGATCCTTCTCTCCTCTCTCTGCCTCTCCTTTTCTGAAACTCTGACTTTCAAATAAATAAATAAGCTTTCTTTAAAAAAAAAAAAGTGTAAAAAAGTAATTAAAATGAAACCTCAGTTGCTAATGACAACAGTAAAGACAGCACCAGTGACAAAAGGTGGGACAATTCCTGAGCTCAGTTCCTTGTCACAAGCTTTGTCCCCTGGTGGGGACAGGAGCAGAAAGACACCCTGCAGGCTGGCCCAGAGAGGGTGTGGGTCGCCTAAACCACAGAGCTGCAGGCAAAGCCGGCGGTCCAGGCACTTGGAGGTATCCCACCCCAGGCTCTGTTCCTCAACCTCCCTCTGCAGGACCCCAGCTGAGAAGTGACCCAGCTCCTCTCCCAGCCGGTCTCTCCCCATTGACTGAGGGGGGACCAGCCGGGGGTGGCTGGGAGCACCAGGGTGGCCATGAACAGGGGCATTCACAGCACCTACCCCTTGAGGTTGCTGACTCCACCCAGCGTTGACATGAACACTACTGACCGCCCATGCGTGAGCAGGGACACCATGCCCACCCATGAACCTGACTCTGCAGATGGGCCGCTGCAGACCGCGCAGCAAGTTCAGCCTTCGTTGCGAAGGCATGTTCTAGACCCATCTCAGTCTGCAGGCTAAGCTGCCATGCCGGGCCAGGGAAGCTTGTCCCCCTCTTGTAGAGGGTCTGAGGGAGGAACAGGAAGGCTGGGGCAGTGCTCAGACCCCACCCCCGCCTCCCAGTGGCCCACCGGGAGGTCGCCCAGCCTTGGGTCAGGCAGCCAGTCACACCCTGCACCGTCTGGCCTGCTGTCCTGCCCTCTCCCAGTAGAGAGCAGGCAGGCTCCTCTCCCCTGGGGCACAAGCTGGGAAGCACAGTCCCAGAGAGGGCTGGGGCGTCCCCAAGGTCACCCAGCATGGCAGATCAGAGCTGGAGACAGGGCCAGCCCAGGCGTCCAGAGCTTGGGCCCTGCTTTCTGACACAGAAGGGAAGGAGCTGGTAGGACAAGCGGAGGCTAATATTGGGGTCAAAGTCTCCACCGCCAGGGAGGCCCTAGGTGTCTGGCAGGAGGGGGGCGGGGCCAGGTCCCACGGCACACAATGCCCCCGAAGGAGGAGGAACCCTGGCTTTCACCGGGCTCCCCCGCCGCCCCCACTCCCACCTCGCCGCAAGAAGAGAAAGGAAGTTGCTAACTGATCTCCAGGAAATCCTGACACCCGCCTCCTGCCGCGAGCCCCTGCCCCACGACGGCAGGACCGGCCGGGAGAGTGAGGCAGCCTTACCTCCGAGGAGCTCACCTGCTGGAGGCCGGCCAGCAGACTAAGCAACAAGGTGGGCGCGAGGCCGGGGACCCGGGCGTCCGACATCCTGGCCTGGGGGCCACTGAGCTTCCGTGTGTATGGGGAGGAGGGGAGAGGCGGGGCCGCGACCTCTCCCACTTCTCTCCACCTATAGGGCCCCGCCTTGGGCCGGGGGGGCGGAGCCGATGCACCTGGGATGGGCGGCCTTGGGGCCCGGAGGGGGAGGAAGGGGAAGGGTAGAGGTTGGGTTTGGGGTTTGGGAGGTGGAAAAGATGACCTGATCGACTACGAAAACACTCCTGTGGGGCCCGCGCGGGACGGCAGAGTTAGGCCTTGCTCCACCCACCAGGGTTAGGGGCTCGAGGGAGAGGGGCTGCACCTGGGGCTGGGCGTGGCCGAGGGGCAGGAGGGCCTCGCTCCTCTGCACTGCTGGGGAGGCCGAGGTCCCTGGCCCGGGTGAAGGGCTTGCCTGGGGACTGCTTTCTGGCAAAGGAGGGAGGGGGAGCGACCTGAGATTGTGGGTTGGGGCGCCACGCTGGCGCAAGCTACCCCCTCCCTGTGAGATCCCGAGAGAAGTCGGGACGGGGGCGGGGAACGAAGGCCCCAGGCTGCAGCGTCTTGCCCCCGGGTCTGTAGGGCGAGCAGGCCCGTCCGGATTCCTGGGAGACCCCGCCGAGGCGGCGGGCTGGGAATGGCCACATCCTGAGCCCCGGGCGGCGCAGCGCCCCTGCCTGACCGAGGCCGACCGGCAGGGGGCAGCGTCGCCCGGCGCCGGCCTCTCGCGGGAGCCCGAGGGCGCGGGCTGTGACCTGGGCCTGGGTCTCCCTGGGAGCTAGCCAGGGGTGGGGTGGGCGGTAGGCCAGGGTGCGAGGAGACGCAGGACAGGCAGAGACCGGGAGGGGCGCCATGGGGGAAGGGGAAGGTGGCCCCGACCCTGACCCTGAGAACATCCTCGACCTGTCTGGCTTCTGCTTTTCCCCCTCCCCTTCCTCTCTCTGGCTCTCCCCAGTGCTCCCAGTCTGCACCCAGTTCCCGCTTTCCATCCGGGTCTCTCTCGGTCAACCCTGGAGCCAGGCTGCCTGCAGTCTGTGTGTCTCTCCCTCTGCTCCCATTTCCTGTGTCTAAGGTTTGCTCCTGCGCGTCCCCATCCGGGTCTGTTCTCAGGGGCTCTCCTGGGCTCTCCCTCTCTTTCCCTGTCTGTTTCTCATTATCTCTTGGCCCCTTTCAGCCCTTAAGAACAGAATCTTCCAGTTTCCTGATCCAAGTGCAGTTGGGATCTGGCCCTGGAGAATCTTGGCTCCAGTGAAAGCTCTGGTGATTAGGAGCTTGGCCAGGGAGGGGGCGCACCTCTCCCCCCCCCCCCACCGTCGTGCAGTTGCCTTGAATCCTGACTGCCCCCTGCCACGGGCCCCCTCATCTAGAGAGGGCTGGAGCCCTCTCCCAGCAGCACCCATGGTGCCTCCACTTCTTGCTCATCAAGCACCCAAGGCCCGAGGCATCTCCCCCCACCTCCCTGCCTGCCTTCCCCCCTCCCACCCTACCGCACCCCGGGTCTGGGGGCTGGCGGGGCTGAAGACGCAGCAGGGGAAGCTGGCATCACCCGACTCCGAGCCTCTGGTACCCACCTGGCCAGATACAGTGCTGCCGGGCAAAAAGACACAATCGCATTTGGAATTAAATTTTAATTTTAAATGCAAAATAATTGCAGCATAGTTATTTATTTGTTGTTTAGCCAAAATTCAAATGTAACTGGGGGTCATGTGTTTTGGCTTGTTAAATCTGGCAGGCCCACGCCGTCCCTGGGACGTTGGTGCAGCCCCAGCCCCAGCCCCACATGCTCTCGGTGCAGAGAGGGAGGACCCTAGTGCGCCCCTCTCTGGGCCAAGGCCAAAGGGTCCCTGGAGCCTGCTTCTGGGCCCTTAGGGTTTTCCATGAGTCCAAACTGCCCTTTTGTGTCCTATACTTCGAGAAGGCTGGAGGTGGGTGGTCCCAGCCTGTGGTCAGCGGCCATCATCGTGGCTCCGCCCCCACCCCCACTCCAGCATTCTTGGTGGGTGAGGTAGGGTAGGGGTGGAGCTCCATGGGACCCCAGGCTGGGCACAGCAGGGGCTGTCTCGGGGAAGGAGGGGTCCTGCACAGGGACCGCATCTTCTATTGGACACTCGATGTGGCAGCGGGAGGAAAGCTGCTGCCCACGTGCCTCGTGTGCTCAGGCATGCGGTGACACGGGGTGGGGAGACCCGGGGACCTCATGCATTCAGCGAATGCCTCCAGAAGCCACGCCAGATTCCATCTGGGGTTTCCCAAGAGCAGCGACGTTCAGATGTCCTCATGTGCACGCCCCTTGCCCTCGACCCGTGCTTGGAAGAAGGAGCCGATTGTGCGCCCCACAAGGGCGCAGCTGCGAGGGCCTTGGGGGGCAGCTGGCCCACCCCCTCCATGCAACTGGAACCCAGAGGAGCAGGAAGGCCAAGTCCCCGGGGACAGTAGGGGCTGAGTCAGGACCAGAACCCTGAAGGTCTTGAGAGCCCACACCCGGTGCAAGTGCACACACCTCGGGCCGCTGCAGGAACACGTCACTGGGCGCAGGGTGGGTGGCCAGGCCCTGGGTGCAAGGGCAGCACCGGGCTGAGCTCTGTGCGGCTCAGCATGCACCCCTCTCTCCCACACTGCCGGGCCACCTGTATCCAGGGGGTCTAGTGGTGCTGGGGCCCCGAGCTCTCTTTTCAAAGCCGGGCTCTGCCTATAGGGGCAGTATTGTGTCATGTTACTAACTGTGTCACTCACTGTGGGATGCTGTGTGGCCTCACAGAAGACACCCAACGTCTCTGTGCCTCTCAGAGGAGTTGGGTAACCGTAGCTCACTTGTCACATGGACATCGTGAGAATGAAATAAGCCTTCGGTGCCTGGCCCAGCAAATACGTGCCTGGCAGAGAAAAGGGGCCAGCAGGTGCCTGTGTCCCTGTAGCACAACGGCGGCAGAGCAGGGTGTGCAGGAATTAAGGGTTTGAGCTCAGCCCCAGTTCCTGGCATGCCCTGCTCAGCAGCTCCCTCTGCTGCCCATCAGGTGCACTGGGCCCTTAGGGCAAAGCAGAGGGCAGGGGACTGGGTTCTGACCACCGCTCTGTGTGGGGCTGGGGCTGGAGAGCTGAGTGACTCCCTGTGTTCCTGTCTTGTCCCTCCCCTTCCACTCCCTCCCTGCGGCCTGCCCCCTGGGGAGGGCCTGCCTCTCCCTTTAGGTTGAGTGCTCCCGGGGACTGGAGACCGGGTCTGTCACAAGTGTCCCCAGCCCTGGTTGCCCCTGAGCCGCCTGGCTCACCAGGGCCATCGCATTCGTCTCCAGTGGGGTCTGCAGCCTGGTCTCCCCTTGCACCCACTGGGACCTGTCACTCCCCTGCTCCCTAACTTCAGACTCCCCACTGCCATCTCAGGGGGGCTTCTGGGAGCCCTCCCCCCCCACCCCCCTCTGCTCTTCAGCCCCCTCCCCTTCCGGCTTCCCTCCTGGCTTTGGCCAGTTTCCCCAATAACCTTTCCTGAAACCTATCCCTCAAAGATCAACTCAAGTGCCACCTCTTCCAGAAAGCCTTCCTGGACTAGATCTCACTGCTTGTTGCAGTGAACGTCCCCTCCCTGCTCGCCCCCACACAGGCCTCGCTGGCAGCTCTCGGCCTTCCTCCCTCCGAGATACGTGGCCATGTCCTGATGTTCCCACCAGGCTGCGGGGGCTGCCGGCTCTGACTCAGCCCTCATTCCCCCATGGTGCTTTGTTCCAAGTAAACACTGGCTCCGTTGTCCCTGAATCAAAGCTGCGGGGGGGGGGGGGGCTCCCTGGGTCAGGGGCCAGATTGCTCCAGGAGAACAGGGGATTCATGTCTGGAGTCCTTGGTAAGGGGCTATCCTTTGGCAGGGGGAAGTCTGGACTCGCACCTCCCAGGCCCCAACTTCGCCATCCCCATTGGCTGTGCCATTTGGGGAGCCCACCTCTGTTTCCTGCCCCCAGGGTGTGTTCACACACCCCACCCTCGCAGGTGAGGGAGATGGCAGTGGCTTGGGGAGGGGGTGAGCCTCAGGGGACACTGCGGGGGAGGTGTGGCTGGACAAGGCACCGCGCCAGGGCTCCCAGTCGGATTTCCCAGATGTGGGACAGAGGCTGAGGCTCCTGGCTGGTATTTCACTGGAAATGAAAGCCCCCCCCCCCAGCCCACCCTCTCAGGGTGACGGGCGTGAGGTGTAGCGATGACTTCCGGAGTTCACCCCACGTGTGAGCAGCCACCTGTGGCCCGGGAGGCCGGGGGCAGGGAGAGCCACCTGACAATTAACGGGGCAGGGAGCTTATTATCCTAACGAGCGCCTTGGAAGGGTCCAACTAATGCTCACCTTCCAGGGGCTTAGCAGAGACAAAAGCGGCCCTTGGGAGCCATTATCCTTCCAAAGTGCAGGCTTCCGGGGCCAGGCTGTGCCGGAGACCGGAGACCGAAACACGGTGGGGTGGGGGGGACCGCAGGCTGGGGGCGGGGAGCGGGGGGAGGGAGCTTTGAGCCACTGAGCTGCAGGAGGCTGATGGAGCTAGGACGGGAGAAGCTGAGCTGAGACCCGGATGAGGGTCCTGAGAGCCTGGGGCCGGGGGCTTCTCCCTCCGGGTCTCCTCCCTGGCGGCCCTCACTGTTCACTCTGAGATAGAACCCGCGGCCAGAGAGAAGGAAGGCAGGGGGATCCCCGGCACACCCACTAACTGGCTCTGCTCAGGCCCTTAGAAGAGGGTTCTGCTGTGCCCTGCGTGTGCCTTTCTCTGTCTCCAGGTGACAGGGCCGGCGGTGAGAAGAGCTTCCCAGTCCCAGTAGCCCTCTGTGGGCCAGATGTGCCCAAGGGGCCCTCTCGATGGTCTAGGGACTCAGACCAAGGCTGGGCGCAGGCAGAGCCGGGCGGGCCCTGGAGCGGTGAAGGCGGAGGGA